TGTTATTTTGTATAGCGTTGGATAGTATCTTTTGTTTCAAAGTATTCCTTGTTTGCTTTGTTGTCCAAACGTTCTGAGTTCTGACACATCACTGGTTAGTGGTTACGTTAGACTACACTTGGAATATATTATTAACATTGAAATAATTATGTTAACAGATAGAAAACATTCAACACATGAAATAAAATTTTACGGTAGACTTTGACTAATATCGAAATCGTCTTTTGAATCGATAATTTTCGTATCAACTACAACTGGCGAGCGTTTCCCTGAAAGCTGATGTTTAAGCAACGGTAGTGCATTGTGATATCTTGTTTACACTTATAGCTAACGTGCGTTGGTAAAATTAACATCCATACAGTGTTATAACAAACGTCTAGCTCTGTATCTACATACATAATTAGTGATATTGCGTTAATACAAGCACAGGGGTTCATTGTTGCATCACATTTGTTAACCGAGGTTCACGGGCTGTGTACGCTTAGCACTAAATGGAATTGTGTAGTCGTGTAGTAAACAGCGCGTTTATAGTCTATTGATGACAGAGCTTCTTATCTTTAATAATGTCTCTCAAATTCCCTTCTTTGCTAGAAACACAATGAATGTGCTACTCTCAAAACCACATTACTAATAATAATGTTGGCAAAGTTAAAAATGAGATACATTGTACAAACCCCACCCTATTAACGACTGTTTGAAAAACATATCTGTTCCCCTCGTAGGATAGCGAAGGACGCAAAAACTTTTAAATAAATAGAGTATTCTAAACAAGTTTTCTTTTTTACGGAAGCCAGAAGCATCTGGAGAATTTCAGTCACACCAAGAAACGTGTTTGTTATAAGAAATGTCCATTACATTTTGAACGGATAATGTTTTGTTTGGTAACAATAAGTGCAACGCGTCTTATCTACCGATATCGATGTTCAAACGGTAATTACGATATTTCACTGTAATAAATGTATGGTGTCAAAGTATAAGTAATTGCGTAGACAGGGGTCGGCAACCGGGAGTGCTTCGACCCGCTCAAAGCGCATGCTCGTCCCGGCCATCGACCAACCCCGCCTAGCGGGGTGTGCCCGGGTTTTAAGTCTGAGATATCACCGCTAGCACCCCCGCAACATAAATAACCGAGTATACGGCACAGTTTATTAAACATTTTTAACATCGTTTTATATAACCAAACGAATAATTCACCTATTGACATAAACCATAGGAATTTTAAATGGTTTATTGATTGATTGGACATTGTAAAAATGTCAAAAAATGAAAAACTATTTTTAACTAATATTAGTGAATAACAATAATGTAGTAGTTTAAACAAATATCATGACGTACTAAAGCATTACTTACACTATTTTTGGGTTAAACATTTAAAATATATTGCTCAACAAATTATTTCAATAGTTTATATAAACGTCACTTGTGCATTCTTAGTAGTAATTAAGATAAAAGCAATGCAGTCAGCACAATTATTTAGGTTATTTTTGTCCCTAGCGATAATGTAAAATGTTTATTATATATAAATGAATGATATGACATCATGTTCGTAAATAAAATTATCAACTGGCTAAATAGGTCTTGTTATTAGTTTCTTAATACAATGCAATCGAAAAATTTATACATTGCAGTAATTGTATGTTTTTGTAAAAATACACACCTAAACGAAATGAGAGTAAATTTTTTAAAACACATTTTTTGCTCACTTTGCTTGCGGTTTTTGAAAGTCGTAATTTTTTTAATTAGTGATGTACTATGAAAAGCTTAAAAGTGATGGATTCAATACCGTTTACAGGGTCTATATGAAGTCTGTTTGAGTTCTTTTCATTTAATTCCTCATTTAAGGCCTCAAGCGACATGCAAACCGGGTCACAGTCTGCTTTAGATTTACAAAGGAAACTGCATTACCAACGAAATTTAAATTATGGAAGATCATTACTGGCCTATATTCATAAATTTGGTTTGGTTTGATTATGCAGTCACGATCGTTCAAAGAACATGAAACGTACGATGTCAAGTTTCTATCCTATACAAAAGGAACTTACAATAATTAGACTCTAAAACCAGTTTTTTAAAACGTAATATGAAATTTTAAAAATATTTTTTTCATTGAAAAGACAACTCGCTATCATTCCATTTCTTTGATATCCATAGAATTTTTTAGAAGTTTAATATATTTTGTCTTAATTACAGCCATACCGTTAGTAGATATAAAAATTCTAATTTAGTTTTCATCTACCTTTTAAAACCTGATTCTAATTCCGGTAGCTTTGTGTGATATACATTTGGTTCGTAAGCTAGTTCTCTCCATATAACAGCGGTATTTCAAACTATCAATTCAATGATCACTATAAGTTTGTTACGATTCTATCAGATTTATACAGTTATATAGTTAAATAAATGATGCAATTATTTGTACTAAATATATGCATTTATTGGCTAAATTTATGATCAAAAACTAAATGGTTAAGATTAATAATTTACTTAAAAGTAAAGGTAAAATATCGTAAGTAGTGTACAAATTTATTGCAAGACTATTTTTATGTATTACGCGGTTAATTTTAAGTTAACATGACACATTGTTGCATTGTTTGTACTTTTCATGTTAGTCATCATAATGTACTAATTAATTTACTTGTTAGTTAATGGAAATAAAAAAAAAAATCTTTTGTGCTGTTTGCATATTTTTTCTACGTAAAGCAATACGAGCTCTGAAACAAAAATATGTATGAATTGCCGCTATTGTTACGAGACTCTTGTTACTGCTGTTTGGATATAAAGAAACGTATATTCATATACGGTATTTTGATATAAAATTCCTGTAATAGTAACAAGCTGTCTCGGTTATTGTTTTAGTTATTAAACAGCATTCCGCATATAAAGAACATGTTGCACGAGCATCAGTATAACATATACAAGTTCTTCTTTTATTTATTCAATGGCACACTAATTAATTTCTATATACATCTATAACTCTAAATTGTAGCCTAATAATCACTTATCCCTTTTTTGTTACGGGCTGTTGGTAGATGTAGTTCTAGAATGTATTGGGCTGATATCGCCCGGGTGAGGGGTAGCGGCGGAGATGAGGAGGGGGGGGGGGGTGACGCGGCCGCTGAACTCCGCTCGAAATCAATACAGCTGCTGGCTGCTCCCCGCCCAGAATCTGGAGCTCGCTTTATCCCGTCACCATGGTTACCCGCGACCGGCCGACTATAACTACACACACACAAACACACAACCAACACACCAATACAGATAGGTACATATAGCGTGTAAATGATTCAATGCATCTATGTTTGTGATCAGTTTTGATTGTCACACGCACCCATATCGGAGTCATAGATGACTTTTAAAATATTTGTATATCAGATAGTGTTGTCTATTTGATTTCTTTAAAGTAATGGTATATGATTTGTTTAATATTTGTAAATTATTAAGAAAAAATAAGTACTTCACCATTTGGACTTAGCAATTTTGTTTGCTCGCGGTTTTGCAATATACAATCAAGTTTTTGACAAAATCAATCAAACATTAATAAAATGTCTGTTAACTTCAGCCTGTCTTTAAAAATTTATTTCATTTGTGTCGAAACTAACAAAAATATTTAATAATACATATAATAGTATAGTAAAATTATGGACTAGTATTAATAACAAATAATATATTTTACTAGGGTTTAATACATTTACTTATTATATATTAACTTCTATGCAATGGCCATAGTGAAAATATTAAAACTAATATCGAAACTAATACAGTGGAAGATGTAAACGTTTGAACAATTCTGTTAGTTAGGACGAGTATTATTTGGGAGTGCATTCAAATGTAACGGTTCGTCTCGAATAGTCACACGTGGCACCCAACAGGTTGGCACAATAATCATATTAAATTGTAAGAGCGGTTAGTTGGGGGGCTGAGTAGGTCGTGGCCGGGCTGCGACGGGACCGGCAGGGGGAGGAGGGAGGGGGGGGGTTGATAGTCGCGTGGCCGGCGGGGGCGTCGGCCGTGCCCGATGCACTACCGTATATGGTCCGGAATCAAAATTGTACATCCATGAACCTATATGCAAATGTACTCTGAATATAATAAGGACGCCTCGGGCTTTTATGGTTATAATACATACTGTGACTGTCGAGTTGACATTTAATTATTATACAACCCGGTTCGTACTAATCGAACCATGTACGTACCCATACTATAAGTTTCAAAATATATTAAAAAGTTATTAGTAATTTGACCCGTCCGGCTATATTGATTGTTGGATGGGGAGTTGGTTGTGTATTTTCGAGGGGTGTGGGCGCGACGCCTCGGCTGGCCTGGCTGAGGTTGGAGCGCATGCGTCCTCCGACACCCCGGTTGTTGCTAGGCTGTGAAACTTACATCTCTGCATCCCAGATACACCCACTCCACCCCGACATGCTTTCAACATATCTCCCCACCTTTTGATGCATTAAAATTCATACTTGCATTCTAACATACATCAGAATAAAGTTTTTGACGCGTCAAAACAATAGCTTTTGTTTATTTTTTGGTTAGTAAAAACTAATGAAAAATCTGTTCCAATGAAAATAAAGTCAATTCGAAAACTAAGTAAGATTTCTTTCTTTTTTTTCTAATAATGACGCATAAGTATTAGAATACCTGGCGAATTTTTGTTTAGTTTTGTAATAAATATGCAATATTTATTAAAGATATACACTATATATGTTGAGTTTGCATCGCAAAGTGCTGTCGCTTTATAATTATGTGAGAATCAAAGCATCTGTAAATGTACTTTGTACTATTGCCGTCGCGAACCTATATTTTAATATAAAGTGAAATTACTTTCATGAATATGTAACAGTCTATGATCCTAATCACATATCAGTAGTATTATTGCGAATTAACTTCTTTTCAATGTAATAGTTAATTATGTCATATTTTGTATTTAATATTATCTGTAAAAAAAAACATTTTCTCTTGACAAATTTTTATACAATTGTTCTTTTTGCTTGTTCTAGAACGTCGATCACAAGGCAAAATTCCGCTCCAAAAAGGGCCAGCTTCCATTCGTTGAATTGAATGGAGAAGAAATTGCTGATAGCACCTTCATCATCAAGGAGCTCTCGGAGAAATTCACTAAAGATTTGGACGCCGGTAAGTGTATGAGGAAAACTTTATGTCTATTTTAGACCTTCAGTCGTTATCATACAGTTCAGAAGCTTACAATTTTAAGTGCTAATGTTTTTGCCTATAAATCTATTTGGAAGTTTGACTAAAATGCTAATTGAATTAACCCATATAAATTTTAGAAATAGGTTGAACGCTTGATAATAAATATATCTTTGGTAGATATTAATACTGTTCCGCGAATAACTAAATCAATATCGGTACATAACTTATATAATATTTGGTACCTATAACGTTATATAGCGGGCGTCTCCCTGTTTCAATCAATACAGGGGGAGATTTCCAGGTAGATGTCCGGGACGACCTGAAACCTAGATAAGGGGGCTAGAACCTGCACACTGCGCATGTGCATTGAACGCATTCTATATTAAATCAAAAACTTCACTTCCGCCCCCACAGGTCTGACCCCCGATCAGCGGGTGGTCGCCCACGCCATGGCGTCTATGATCGAGAACCATCTTTCTTGGGTGATTTTCTGGTGGCGTGCCAAATACCCCGACAGCATGATCAAGGGTTACCAGGTTAACCTACAGAACGCTCTAAACACGCGCCTGCCGAACCCTATTCTGAACTTCTGTTACAAGTTCTCCCTTGGACGTAAGGTAAGAACACGTTTATTATTCCTTGTTCAAAAAGCACTAATGTTCACTTTAATTTTATGTTATTTTTTGGCACTATTTCTCTATCATCGTTTTGGTTTTTCAAACTATATGTATTAAAAATAATAATTATGATATTCTGTTAGTTACGAAATATTTGTTTTTGTTGTGTTTTATCCAAGTTTTCGTATGTTAAGGCGTAGACTCAATTAATGAATATGCCAATTAGTACATATCGTCAGGTATCGAATTCCTAGAGTCAACGGTCTCGCAGCTCAATTTAGATCGCCCCTTATATGTCTGGGGGGTAGATTTTAATATACGTACCACCTCCCCCCTTATGTAAGGCCCCCATTTCATCTGCGGCGCATGTTGCACTTCCCCCTTCCCCGATGCGTTGCAGACGCCATATTGTCAGCAGTAGTTAAATAACCGGCAACCTGTTGAACTACACGTAGTTGATCTCGGGCTGTGATAGCGGTACGACCGACATGGTCAGTGTCTAGTGACTTATTATTATACCTCTCCAACTATTTAGATATAGTGATCATTCAATATTTTTATTTTGTTAATAGGGGATGAAGAAGGCGAAGGCCCATGGGATCGGCGTTCACAGCCAAGACGAGATCATCGAACTCGGCAAGAACGATCTTCGCGTACTCTCCGATCTGCTCTCCGATAAGCCGTACTTCTTCGGAGACGAGCCCACCATTGTGAGTACTCTTTGTTTCATAACATTGAATTTTTATACTATTTAGGACTTGAAGATTAATAATTTTTCAATAGCGAATTTTATGTAATCCTTTTTCAAGAGATCCAAGGCAAAACAAGATAATTCGATCGATTCGATGTTCATACATTTGGGGTATTTCTTTTCATATTGTTTCTTTTAATGTTAGTTATGGTCTCCGTATTTATATACATTGATACTCGGTCGTATATTTACACCTTTGTGACAGTCGGGGTGGGTGTGGGGCGCGGGACGAAAACCGTTCCCTGAACTTTAAGAATCATAGTAAGTCTCATAGATCTTAAATAAAAATGAATTTTAACTGTTTAGTTTTCTTGTTATGTGACGTTTATTACAAAAAGAAAGGGCTATTATTCGGTTAAAATATTGGTTGTAAATATTTCTTGTTTTGTCTCTTGTTTAGTATACTATATGATTCTTGTTTTTGGGGTCACTACAAAGCTTAATTAAAAACATAGTTCTGTAATGTCTTTGTTATATTTTTTTGATTATGAACGGTATTAAGTACAAAGTTTTTCAATGTGATTCCCGGCTTCAAAGCGTTTGCCATATTTTAATCCAAAATTTTGCGTTGTTATTGTTAAAAAACATTGGTATTACTTTAGTACAGTTCTTTGTTTGGGAGATAAATCAATAGAGCTGTACACTATTACCGGCTCGTCTGGGCGAGGGGGGTGGGTGTAAGGTGCGTTAGGTCATGACCGATACGGCCTCGCCTGGATCCCCCCAGTCTGCGAATTTACTCTGAGCTAACAAACCCTCCCCCCAACATCCCATTGGGAGTGGCAGGATCCCCCTTACATGTGCTTCTCTCCCGGAAGCGATATAAATAGATTTAACTGCTTCGTTATGACTTCGCTATTTGAGCTTTTATAAAACTGGTATGCTACAAAGTTTTGATTTAATTTCAACTTTTTTGGGGTTTCTTGTTTAGTTTTCTCTTAGCGGATCACTCTTTTTACATTACAATAATTTATAATTGGAGAGTTTTTAACTTTAATGATTGATTACGAGTTGTGATCAAGTACCTCTTGAGGACATGGAGTCTAAACGTGAACATTTCATTCCTCAGCTGGATGTAGTTGCTTTCGCCAACTTGGCCCAGTTGCACTTCATCGACAAGGAGGTGCAGCACGCCCTGCGGGACGCTCTAGCCGAGTCCTTCCCCAACCTCGTAGGACTTGTCACACGCATCAAGGAGCGAGCCTATCCTGATTGGGACGAACTCTGGTCCTCCACCGAAAAGAGCGCCAAGGAACCAGAGAAGCCTGCTGATGATGCTGAGAAGGGCAAGGTAAGGATTACAAGTATATCATCGTCAGTACATAGATGATTTTATAATTATATATCATTGCTACATTTACTTTTTGTCGTCCAGGGCGACGAGCAAGAGAAGGAGCTAGAGAAAGAGCCGGAAGAGAAAGAGAAGGAGAAGGAGGAAAAGGAGAAAGAGAAGGAAAAGGAGAAAGAGAAGGAGAAGGAGAAAGAAAAGTAAATGCTATAAAATATATAAAGTACGGCATTCAAGCCTACCATACTTACTTACAAGTTGATTATACATTTAGGAGTCAGACTCGTAACAATCTGTATATTGTAAGCGTATAAATCCATTTGTCTTTCCCGTATTATCAGTTCGTGACGGGAGTCCGTCTTTATTATGAATTGCGCTTAATTTGTTTGAATTGGTTATGGTTCAGTTCTCGCTCGATGTGTTGGGGTGATCGAGCATCGGCCTTTTTGATATTATTTGAAGGAATTTTGTTTCATATATTTATGTAATGTTTTGAAGCTTTTTATATAATTGGGTTTATTACATTCGATTGCTTTGCCCATTTTAATTTTTCATGTATTAATTGTATCAGATAAGTAATCGGTTGTTAAGGTACTTACAGGAGTAGGTAAACATATAATCAAATAAATTATATAGCATAGAAATTTAAATTAAGCGTACATTAATATTGGCATTCAAGAATCATTGTATTGTTAAGTATGGAAGCTGGCTTAGTATAGGCATTTTAATGTCTTTATCCTAAAACTACACCTAGTCTCTAGTGGGGAGCGTTTCATGACTTTTATTATTCATATTTTTCCACAATATATTTCAATAACTATAATATACTCAATTAATTTAATGTTTACTTATGATCTTCACAGATAAGGCACATGAAAGTTGTGAATTAATTAAGTGTTATATATAATTGGTATCAAAATTCGTCTGTTTAGACAATGAACGCGACGCGCTGGGATCAAGACGCGGGTAACAACCCAGGCGCGATCGATTTTGATTCGTGTACAATATTGGTTTTTACAAAATTTAAAAAAAAAATTTACAATTTACACCCTTTTTGATATGATAAAAAAATGCCTGTAAGACTGTTTTTTCATGATATTGTGTAATCCTAGTATGTAATCTCTAGTTGTTATGTTAGGTAAGGAATCAATTGTACATTCGGGTTTTATGATCGTCCAATTAATTAATGATAACCAGTCAGCGATGTCGCAGAGCTGGAAAAGCCGCCATCGCACTTCTAGCGAGCTACCATCTCGTCGAGTTAGCGCATCATCAGCCCACGACCATTTCCCCCCCTCCCATTCACCACCTCCATCATTCATCACCGTCATTAATTTTCTATCATCATTTCCCAATTCACCATCATTTCATACCCCGTCACATCAGTCACAACTACGCGCTAACACTGTTTCGATGTTGTTCATTAATATTATCGTTTAAGACTGTTATAATTTTATAGTTCAATTGATTTTCTCCTTATAAACCGGCGTGGTAACATCAAACCTGGATTCGTGACGTCTGTCACCGGAGAGGCTTCTATAACTGGAACGTTTGTAAACCAATTCTGGACTTTCATATTAATATTTAGTTGTGAGCAGTCGTCAGGCCTATATAGCAGTTTCGGGGTGTAGAAACGTTCTCGACTATTGTCGGGATATCTGTCTTGTTGTATGAGGGTCTGCAGTTAAGTGGCGGAGCGTTGGGAACTTTGGTTTGGACGACTTGTTAATTTAATTTGTCCCTAGATTCGTAATACAGAGGCCACGATCTCATCCTGGCCTCACCGGCAGTAAGGCGGGAGGTCGGTCGCTAGTTGGACAATTAGCAAGTATATTCACGTAATCTCTTATCTTAAACCTAGGCTAGTAGAATATGTATATTTGATGAAATTCATGGATGTTCATAATGAGTAGATATCATAGCAAGTGTTCCGCAGATCCCGATCTATTTGGGCCCGGGACACTAAATGATATTAGTTTTAGTCTAGCATAGTAGCCGGCGTCGAACACCAGACGCCGCACCAAGTAACGGACGCAGAGCTGTCCCCGTCCGAAATAGATTAATCAACTATATATTCGATGTTTACTAGTACAGGTTTTTCATTTCGAGTATAATTTGGTTCGTCATTATTGGGGAAAGGTCGACGTCTGCGTCCCTCCCGACAACTGCTGACCATCACTGCCATTAGCCTCGGATGTAAGAGTTAAGATTAGGGATAGAATAGAAATGATGGTCACAACACGCGATATCCACCTACTTTATAACAATAGATGACATAGTTATATTGAGGCTAACATTACCGTATGCTGAGGCGCTGAGTTTCCTCGCGCCCTTCGGCTCGAATGACCGTCGACAGCTACATCGAGCGAGCTCACCCCTACCACGGTACTCCCGCCTCACATCACAGTCACACACCAACGGAACTGATACAGTGAGCGCGACGGTATTCAATCGTGTATTGTATAGTAGGCTTTAGTAGGCGCCGTACCACGAACCCGGCACTATGTGCGTTGTGCGTTGTACGTTGTAGGTTGTACGATGGGACAGTAAAGAAGCGAGTCAGACATATGGGCGCGTCAGTGTTCTGGTCCGCCGAGTCTAGTGAGGGCAACTACTCGATACCAACCCTGTTCTTTATTGTCTCACATTTAGGCTAATTTACATCTACTCTGATTCACCTTCTCCTTATCGAAACTCTCTTTTATTTTTTTGTTTTACCGTAAGTTAGTGTTATATTACAAATTAATGGTAAATTTAAAAGTATAAGTGTCTATTATATAACTATATATGTATTAGAAACGTAGAGAACAATATAATGATGAATGATTTTGTAATTGTGGTTACTTATATCTATATAATATCGATATGAAATTTTCACATTTGTGGTTATTCAATTAATGTGTCAATATCTTTAATTATAAGTAATATTCATTAGATAGTAATGGTTCGCCATAATGTACCGTTTATTATAATTATACAATTTAACTGAGCTTTCAGTGGAAACAACTCTATTTAAGATCTTCTGTGTAACATTCTATGACATTAAAGTATATCTAATACAAATAATACTGAAAGTGTTGTGTAGGGGTGTAGTGTGAAATAGTGACACCCTTTTACAACATCGGACAGGCTTCATTTTATTTATCAGTTACCTTGACCAATAGCTTTAAGTATTATGTATTAAGAGTTCAGAGCTAATGATTGTACCTTTAGTATGAACCTTAAATAACAACGACGCTCCAGCGAATTATTACGCCAATGCGAATTTCTGCTATGAAAATTCAATAAGAAATACCTAATAATTGTATATTGTCACACTTTAATATTCAACTCGAATGACCAAGAGAACAATAACTTATAAGAAATTTGTATTAAGTCAACCAATGTCTTTACATTTAAATAAAATCTTTGTAAGCGGTGTGGGCCGTTACATATAAATTCAATTCGTCCACATAATAAAGCTTCAAATTCTAAAATCATTAGTAATCTGTTGAGCGGAGTATGGTGGGTGTTAGAAATCTCAATTGCACCTCCATAATTTATCGACTCTTTCTATATAATTGAACTGTGGGGTCTAGCGTTGTCAGGAAGCAGTGCGCTAGAGCAATTGATCAAAGAGATTATTATCTACACCTAGGTTGGCTGGTGTTGTGGTTTGGACAACAATAATGATCGAAACCAGCATATGGACATATAACGATTCTATAAATTTATTATATTCTTATTTCTTGACTAAAGAGACTATAAAAACACTTTTAATATAAAAATTACATTGTTGTTGAGAACTATCTGAGATTGAGACGAAATTACTGACTCACTACTCAACGGTATAAAATTTAACGTAAGCTATGAGGAATTACTTATTATCAAGGACTGTTAAGGGTTTCTTTTTAAATGGAAAGGTCTTAATAAATGAGTTCAATCAGAATTGTATCTTATCGAAAACTGTTGACTTCCAGAGATTGAAACGAATGTTTAATTAATACTTAATGCTTTTATGTATTAGAAATGATAAAATAGAAATAACAAAAACCTATAAATGAACTTAGGGTACAAAAACTTCTTCGATGTCTGATACTATGAGACACAGCTGCTGCGTAGGTCCCGTGGGACTGGTGTGAGAGGGAGTGGCTTTTAATTCTACTAATTATTATTTTTAAAAATGTTGGAAACGATCCATTATCATAATGTTTAAGTTACTAAAATGACATTCATAAACGCTATTCAAACGTTTGGACGGCGGTAAAAGAACAAAGGGTCGAACTAAAATATTTAAGACTTAATTAGAAGTAGTATATAAAAACCTCTGAGTACAGTCAAGTGGAGGTAGAAGTAAGACGTTTTATTTTTCATATGAAATCCTAGAACATCCTCTTTGTCAGGAAATTGGGACATAAATGTTTCCAACCTTGATCGTTAAATAAATAAAAATTTAATCAGCTCATTAATGTATAGAAAATAACAAATAGAATAATTCAGTTGTTATATGGAGAAATATTTAATTTAGTCATAAAAGTAAATAAGCAGATTGCTTGACGAATCATTGTACATAAAAATTATACGAAGCCCGCCAGTGCGGGTAATTCTCATCGCCTCCGTTGTATTTGTCGTGGCTACTCTCACAATAGCTTTATTATTTTATCACTTTCGGGACCAACTGTAATGCTACATGTGTTGGAGAGATGAAACTTTGGAAATGGCCATAGAAAAGTTTTACTTTAGATATAATCAACTGAAAAAGCATGCGAACTCCCAATACACTTTTAAGAGCTTGATACAATCACGTTCACTTTTTCCTATATCGATAAGGTAAAATATTAAAATTCAATATTCGTATCCTATAAATTTTAACGCCGAATATGCTTATTCAGTGAATATAAGTGAAATTTTGATACTCAGTAAAAGGACTACTTCAAACTAACTAATTTATTGTAATTTGTATATGTAAAATAAAATTCTTTTAGAATAAAAGACGCTATGTTGGGTAAGTGCTATGGAAGTAAATTGTAATGTTATAATCAATAATATATTGGGGACGTTTATATATAGGACTTCAACATGAAGATTTACCCTTTAAAACACATGACTTCGGCAATATTTTATATATATATATATATATATATATATATATATATATATATATATATATATATATATATATATATATATATATATGTATATATTCAAAGTATTGATTAGGCTGGAATTTATAGGATTTATATTATTTTGTTAAACGTATTATAATTAATTATTATATTCATTTAAATAATGCCATCTATTGGGTGTTGCCTGTAGGTCTATAAAAACTATTTACTAAAATAGTTAACTAGAACTACTAAGCTATTTTAAACCCAACGATGCTACCAGAGGTCGCTTACAAACTATATATTTAAGATATGCTTTAGCCTTTTTTATGACATTCATTCAATCATCCATATTTTAATAATGTTGCCCTCGATGTTCACAATAATTTAGCAACACCATTAAAATACGATATGCTTATTAATTATGTTATCAATATCGAGAATCCGTCTTGCGTTAAACAACCATGCTACTTGCAAGCCAAAAACCTTTTTCCTCTTTTGTATAGATGGCGCCACTCGCTTAACATTTGGACTTAATAGCATTAACACTTATACAACATATTTAAATGAAATTGAATTGTCCTTGCGTAATATGGGAATAAACGTTTTTAACTAAATATACATATGAATATATGTGCGGTATATACATCATAATGACATTTATTATAATTTTTGTCTGCCTGTTTGTAGTCTGAAATAGCTGGAGCGAGTAAGACATACTTTTATTGGCAGGTAGCTAATGTAATGTAAGGTAGGTAGGTACTCCTTAGGATAACTAAGGCTACTTTTTATGCCGATCCCGAAATTAAGCTCTATCATTAGAGGGTGGAATGCGACGATTTAAAACGCAGACGGTGTGGTGGGTAACAGGTAGTAATAAGAAAAACTTATTTTATAGGACTTATTACCATTAACATCATAAGTACATATAACAATAACTTATTTCGTATCAATATCCGGATCAATCTAGAGTGAAATGTTTGTTATCCCAAGAATGCTTTATAGAGTTATTTAGTAATAAACACTAGATGATAGAGATAAATAGGTATTGATAACTCAAAGCATTTACTTTAATTAATTGGATTGAAATAATCAGATAGAGACAGAGGCCTTCGAATTGTCTGAATTATAATCAATCAATTGCTTCTGGTAGTGATTGATAACAATTTAATAATTACCAAATTGTGATACCATTTACTCTGTTGGAGCAGAAACAGAAGTGCTTTGCATAGCGATAAGCACATCTGCTCCGAATCCCTATGGAAACAACGTTGCATTTTGTATCGAGTTATGCTAAGAATTAATACATTGTTATAAGATCGATATCCGAATATTTACCATCCAGGCTAGGGTTCGACTTATCTTTCTCGTGGAAACTTCAAATAGATTTGGACTTAGCCACTAGAAAAAAAATTAGGTACACTAATGCATCTGATGCTATAACCTCTTATTACGTCTGCTAAACAATTGATCTCGAAAAGGAATATTTTTGAATCCAAAGTAAAGGCAATTAGTAAATGAGTTATTTATAGCAGCTAGTAGTTTTGGGGATTGTAGTGATAATTAAGCCTAAAGAGACATCGATTATGTTCAGGTCTCGGAGGTTGGAAATAGGTCTGTCTGATATCTAATTTTAGTACATAGTCTTACTGCTTTAAAAAGATTGCATTCCAAAATTATAAAACAAGTGAGACGGTTTTGTTTCATCAATATAACCAGTGGTTTCCGGCTCAAGATGGTACGAAACTCCTGGGGGCTTATTTGTAAATAGCATTGCGATGCTTCTTCTTATATAATGAAGTCTCTTGTTATAGTTGGATTATTTTAAAAATATTCATTCGACATTTTCAATCAATAATTTAGTTTTAGTGATTCTTTTGATTCACACACAAGAATTTGGAACTTATATTTCTTCTTTTTGATACAATAAGGATTTGTTAATGAAACTAACTATCATCGTAAGATGTAAGAACGGGGATAATCTTTTAATTTGACTGTTTTAAATCGTGTTATCATATTATTTTATTATCTATCTCTAAATTTGTACTTTCATTCCGCTTCTTTGAAATTGTTCGTAAGCAGGCAACTTTTGAGATAAAAATTCAAAATGAGCATAATTTATTGTATTTCATTATTTTCTCGTTTTAGTTTTCTCTGAACCTGAACAATAACTTTGCCAAGATACACTGTCATCGTCATTAGGACTTGTTGATGAGAACAAAAAACTAGCCGCTTTTGAGATGTTTATTTTTCTTCAATACAGATAGTAAATTTTTAAGAACAGGGACATTATTAACAATTATATTTATGACGAAATTAAAACGTTATTACTTTTTTAACTATTTACCTATGACTAAGGACTGTAACTGCTTTTAAGGAAGTATATCAATGAGATATGTTTTATGTTGGTCTTATGGGAAGAAAGTGGCGCATATAGAAAAGTAAGAAATGAAAGATTTTAGATATTGTCTTACATCCGTTGAATTACTTGAAAAATATATTGTTACTATATCATTCATTTCAAATTTAGCTAATTCGCAATGTTAAAAATCTTTTCAAGCAAACCATTTTAA